GTTGTTTTTAATAGTGAAAACTTATTCAAATCTCCATTACCTGCGTTTATAATACTTGCAATTATAGCTACCTTACCTGTTGAAGAAATATTGTATCTTTTTGCAACAACTGCTATTGATTTAATTATATCTTTAGGCAAAGAAACCGTTACAAAATTGTCAGTTTTTTTCCTTATTGAATTGTATTCTTTAAAGTCTATATCTAACTCATCTGAGTTTACAACTTCAGTATCAGAATGTTTTTGAAGAATTGGTTGAAAAATGTTGTCAGACGATTGTTGACCTATCATTTTCGCTTGAAATTGATTTGTTTTTGCAATCTTTCTTTTTATAAACTTTTCATAATTTTTGTCCTTACGATCACTTTCGCAGGCTTCTTTGGTCGTCCTATAACATACAATTTTCTTTTCTGGTTGGAAGTGATTTAGTTTTATCTTTCATTATGTCATTAACATCTAAAAGGAGAAATGTCGAAAAGATTACGCATTTCTTTCCGAAATTCTATGCACGATTTTTTATACCCAGTAGACACTTTATTTCTGCTTGCTTGTTATCTGCGATTTTCCAATTCCAGAATGTTATTCCTAAAAAATATATATGTATAATTTAAAAAGTAAAGTTAATTACTAGCGTTTTATCATATTTATACCAATATTATTTATGTCAAAATTAGAAATTAAAAGTAATGTTTATACCTTATTTGTTTATGACACAATATTGGAATTGAAGCCTTTTCCCATATATTAACTAAGCCTTTAGTAACACACATCAAGCTGTTCTCTTTCGTCTGACAACCACCAGATTCGTTACATTTAAGCGTAAAAAAATTTTTTAAAAAGGGGGCAGATAACAACGTCCTGAAGTCTAGCAAATTAAGAAGCTGATGTCATTTTAATCCAATTCAAGTATTTTCTATAATAAAGTTATGCAAGCACTTCTCCGTTTGTTGGCAGATTATTTTCAGGTAGCTTTTCGATGGTTTTTTCTACCCAAAAATTTATTTTTGATCTTGCTTGACACATCGCATACATTTTAACAAATTCTAGAAAATAGTAAGCGCATTGCTTAATAAAAAAATATTTATATATGTTTACAATGTCCCTAGAGATATAAATTAAAATCGTGACTTAACAAAATCTTGATTTTACATATGGTAAAACTAGTAATAAACCTGTTTTATTGTAAGACTTTTAACATTTAAGATTTCCCAAGTGAGTATTTTATGTTACATTATAAGTTTAATTTATTAAGTCTTGAATAAGTTACGTAAAATACTATGAATGATTAGATTGATTATGATAAAAATATTTTGTATAACTCTGGTTAGTTGTTTTATGTATATTTTTACAAATATATATTTTTTCTATAGTATATAATTTTTTTGTTTCTTTTATATATTCTAACATTTTTTTACTATTTTGATTTTTTTAGTTACATATGACTAAACAAGAGATAGATTGCCTATGGCAAAAGTTTGTTCAGACTTTTTCAATCAACGACAGTAAGACCTGATAAATTTAGAAGTAAACAAATTTCAGAAAAGTCTTTGTCCTACCAGGTGATGATCATGATGATTGTGATGATGATATGATATACGTCATAATGATGAGCATATGTAATTTAGATGGTGATCATCATATCATGATGTTGGTTTACTTTCAGTATTTTATAGAAATGTATATTATCACAAATTTGTATATTTAAGTTCAGAAACTGACTCTCCGCAGTTACTCAAAAAAAAAAAGAAAGTCGTAAATAATAAAAAAAGACACTTACTCCAGCCCGTACTGTTCCTCCTTTAATATTTTTATGTATTGAAATTTTGACTTCTTCAGATCATTTAAAATTTAATAATTTTTTAAAACAAGGTTCTGCATCTGAAGTTTTAGAAAAGGATGTATTTTTATACTTTTTTTATTTTAATATTCTTTTTTATTTTTTTAACTTAATTCCAATATGCTCTGAAACAATCTTTTAGTTAGTTTTTGTAAATAGAACACAAATATGTATCAAGATTTATCAAGTTAAATTGATGGACGTACTTTTTTTGAAAGCAATGAGTTAGACAACTGATGGGATTGAGACCCATCCACTTCTATGGTATTGTATTTTATTGACTAGAAAACTTTTTTTTTTTTTTAATGAAGAATTTATTAAAAAGAGTGGTTTATAAGGTGAAAATTTCTTAATTTATTTTTAGCGCTTTAATTCTAAAAAATGTGCTTTGATTGAAGAAAAATGAAAATATTTTGTTATTGCCTATTGAGATGATATCAACTTAGTTGCGTGCTGATCAGTTGCTGGATGAATTAAAGCTCTCATAGCTCCCTAAATCAGTATTGAATCATCAGTTGCATCTATGCTAAAATTGAAGCACATAGTAAGCATTAGTAAACTGAATTTAACTATTTCATTATTGTTAATTTTTTGTTATTTTAGTTTTTGGAGTTTTAAGTGACATCCAATGGATGTTTATCTGTGAGATGATGATACATTGGTTAATAGTAATCTTGCAATTTACTCTTCGAGTTATTTTTATAAAAAAAAATTTTTCGATAATAATATGAACTTGTCTTCCCAGTGGGCATTTCGACGTCGAACGAACGTCGAGCGACGTCGGATCTCGACGTCGGATCGACGTTGGGTTTACGTTGGAAATGGAAATGTTATTTGACGTCGGATAAACTGACATCGCGCGACGTCGGCATTCCGATGTAAATCCAACGTGTTTTTTGAAAACTAAAAAACGCTGCCTTTGGCAGGAATCGAACCTCGGGCTACTAGTTTCTTTATCCTGTGCGCTTACCACTACACCACAAGGACATATAGATTGATGAGTTTATTTAGTAATTTATACTTGTAGCTATTTGGGAATTATTACTTTGATAAGAAATAATTTTGTTTAAATATTATATAAATATTAAAACGAATAGTTATATATTATAAAAAATGTATACTCGAAAATATTAATAGTTAAAAAACTATGCTAGTGCATCATACAAAACCTCTTGATGTTTTATCAACCTTTATTCAAACTTTTTTCCATTAATAAAAAAACACGCTTAGTTCACATAATTATTGAAGAGCGCAATTGCACACATATTGTTGGGTTTGGATTAAATTTTCATCAGCGATGTCTTACGACGTTGTTCCGACGTCGTTTTAAGGACGTTGGATTGACGTCGGAAGACGTCAAAAGACATCGGAGTACGTTTATATTATGACGTTGCCCGACGTCTTTTTATCGACGTTGGATCGATGTCAGTACTGCGACGTTTTTTGGACGTCTTTTATAAGATGTCGGAACAACGTCAAAATACATCGAAACGACGTCAGGGGATGTTGAGATAAAGACATCGCCCGACGTCATTTTACTGACATCGGAACAACGTCGGAATAGGTCTTTTGACATCGCTGATGAAAATCAAACGTAAATCCGACGTCGGATTGACGTCGGGTGCCCACTGGGTTATGTTTAAATATTGTTTGGAATTTTATATCTAGTGTAATTTTGTTAAATACAATAGGGTTAAGGTGCATAATTTTTTTTTAAAAAAAGGTTTTTTAATTATCCCAAAGTTTATATATGTGAGTATAATGTACATTTTAATCATTCATTTTAGTTTAATTGTTTACTATTTTTCACACATTTTAACACAGTTTAACTTGTTACTTAGGTGCTGTAAAAATAAAAGCTTTAACCTCAGGAGCATCAGGATAAGAGTTTGAACATTAACTGAAGAGATATTTTTTGCTTTTTGGGGATCGAAATGTCGGACGAAAAGCTCGAGAGGAACGTTCTTTGTATAAAAAGTTATTTGCATAAATAGCGATTTGAAACATTTTTTTACTTTTTATTTCATTATTTTTTTAACTCACTTTTGGTTGGTTATTTCGAAAACAATTATTTTTTTCAATATAAGTTGGAATAAATTTCAAAAAGTATTTAGTTGTTTGATTCATGCGGGATAATACATTTGGACAGAAACAGCTAATAATAACGTCCTAATGTATTAGTAAAAAGTAACGCTTTAGTAATGACACGTGACCACAAACAAATGTTGGAAAATAATCACGGATCAATACTAGTAATAGATAATGGGCTAGTGCTGGTAAGCGATCGCGGGCCAGTGCTGGCAAATGATCCTGGGTTAGTGTTGGCAAACAATCGCAGGCCAGTGCTGGCGAACAATTACGGGCCAATGCTGGTCCATGGCAGCGGGCCAGTGCTAGCCCAATGGCCGTTTCGATGCAGGCCCGTGATCGACAGCCGTCATCTCGTCGTAGTCGCAAGCGGATCTGGGCCAGCATTGGGCTGATAGCGGGAGGCTGTCTGGGTTGTTTCCTGCGCGAAGTTGCGCTACACGATTTCCAGACAATAGTGGTACCTGAGAAACTGATATTGACCTTTGTCTCGTACAGTTGGCATATTCGATCTGCTTAGAAAGCAGTAAGCTGCTTTAAATATTTTTTTAGACAGAGCAAGCGCATAAACTTTTGATCTTATTCGTGAACCTTTGCTTGATTTGGCATTGTGACAATTTAATAAATCCAACTTTACTAAATCAAACTATCCCTTTTACAAAATTTAACATGAATTTACATTGGATAACAATCCATTGATATACCTACAACTATTATTGTTAAAAACAATTAAAATCAAGAAAAAATTTACTTAATTTACAAGGAAGTGATTCTTACATATTTCTTCCATTTAAAGGAAGTAATTAATTAAATTAATGATACTTGTCATACTTATTTAAAATTAGGATGATATATTATTTTCCTACTAAAGATGTTTTTTCCCAAACTTTTTTTTTTTCAAATATTATAGTCAACTTATCTAAATTATATATATTTTTATGTAGGTATCTTTATAAAAGCTTTTTAACTATTTTTTAACTTTCTCATGCATTTTGACAGCAGTTTATACCGTATAAAATGCTGACATTTTCACGCAATGTGCTAACTGAGTACAGCTGCCGGGTTTTATACTTAAAATCTATACTTAAAATATAAAAAATCGGCTTCCGAATGTCCCCAAACTTGTGCCTAGTAATTGGGACAAGGCTATTAAGACATTACTTCTGCTTTATATAGTATTTTGAATGCAATTCAAAACAAAAGTCGTTGTTTAGCTCAAATTACAAGTTTGATAAAAGAAGTTTCAAAAATGTTGAATAGGTCAGTTCATTCATTGTTCAGCTGCAATGCGTTTATTAGCAAAAGATATATTCAAAGTGTTTACACAATAAATCCAAAAACTAAGGCACAAGAGCAGGAAAAGCAAGCATGCTATTTAACAAAAACTATAATAAAACCAGGTTTACCAGAAGTTTATTCAGGGAAAAACGTTTTAATACCTGAAAGTGACCGATTGTCAATAATTGCATCAATAAAAAATTGCGTGATTGAAACAAATTTATTTCAGAGGGAGGAAAAACTGAAATTTACGAAATGGACAGGTGACAGAAGTAAACTCCGACTAACTCATAAACATCATCATAGTTTATCAGTACCATTGTTGCTTAATATTTTTAAGGTTATATGGGGATCAAAATGCTCCAGGTAATTATTCATTTCATTTCTTACACAAAATATACCATTATGGAATCATTACAATTTAGAGCAGATTTTTATACAGCAAAGCTGTGGTATTTATCTATCTATCTGTATATATATATATATATATATATATATATATATATATATATATATATATATATATATATATATATATATATATATATATATATATATATGTATATATATATATATATATATATATATATATATATATATATGTACATATATATAACAATACATTTACCAGAAATATAGATATAATACATAATACAGGTTTTGTTTGTATATATATATAAAAAAATAAATAAAATATTCTATATACTGGATGGTTCACTCTTTTATAGCAAATCTAAATTGTATAGAGTGACAAAAAAAGAGCTAAAAATAAAAAAAATATATGTATAAAAAAAGATAAAGTGTTTAGTAAAATTTTTTTCTTCCTAAGCATTTATGAATAATTTTTTTTTTAAACATCTTCGCTTCCAACAAGGCTGCAAGCAACCACTAATTAGTGTTAGAAGTTACTGAAAGAGAAAAGATGAAGATTGTAGAGCAAGATAACGATTGACAGACAACTTTTACAAAGATTGCAAATTATATGAATCAGGAAAGCAAGATGAAGGACGCAAATTCCAAAAAACTGATATTTGAGGAAAAAACCAAGACAAATAAGAGTTTTTGGATAAGATGGATGAATGATGAGTAACACGAGAGTGAATTTTAGTAAATGGCACAAGAGACGCTAGAGCAGACTCTTTAGAGCAGTGCCCATATAGTATTTGTAGAAAAGAGAAAGAGAGTCCAATATGTTTACAATGCGTTTTTGAATAATTATGATAAATATAGAGTATTTGTTGATTAAGATTGTGTATAAATAAAGCTCATATTTGTCATCATGTGTACATTGTGAAATACAGCTGGTCATTCTTTTACATACATACATACATATATATATATATATATATATATATATATATATATATATATATATATATATATATATATATATATATATATATATATATATATATATATATGTATATATATATATATATATATATTAAATTAAAGATACTAATTTTTTTTTTTACTGCATATTTTTTTACATCAATAAATGTATAGATTTTTTATTGTTATTTGAAAAGTATTTCTATTTTTGCTTTAAATTTTTTATTATGTTTTAATCATTTAAATAGGCTTTTGTATAATCTACAATAACGACACACTGCATATGTATTATATTATCTTTATATTCATTCCAAGTAAAAATTATTGGGTTTTTGGCAGAAAAAAACAGATTTTATTATATTATAACTTCACAAAAAATTGAGTTTATCAATTTTTTGTGAAGTTATATAACAAGTTAGTTTATTGGTATTGAAAATAAACAAAAATTAAAAAAGTTTTTTTTTTTAGAAATTAGGAAAGTACTTTTTATTATCCTACAGTTTCTATTGTTCCATTGTTATTCTAAATTACAGTATTACATTTTTTTAACAAGTTTTTTTTTTCAGAATTTTTAATTAACTTAAGAGTTTTTTAAATAATTAATGAAAGAGTTTAATTATATCTAAATTAAAATAAAAAAATAAATTTAACAAAAAATATTGAATAAAAAATATTTGTAAAATTTGAAATAAAAAATAACTAATAGTTTGCCTAAAAAATGACTGTTTAATTTGACATACATTAAAACAATAAGTTTTTACATTTAAATCAACATGTTACTAAAACTAAAAAAATCAGAAAGTTTAGAAATCTTGCATATCTCAAGATTAAGTATATTATGAATAAATCAAGCATTAATCAAGCGTTAAATGTATCATAGAAATAAAAAAATCTAATTGAATTCTGAGATGTCAAACTTTATCAAAAGTTTTTGATATCTCAAAAGCAATAGCCTTTGCCACTTTGCCTCTGTTTTATGCACAATAGAATTATTTTGATACTTAACAACTGCAGAACAAGATATTGAAAGCCATATTGATTGTCAGAGTGTCAAGTTGTTAGATTCACAATGATTAAAGTAAGTTGTTTGAATCGGAAATAATTAAAGTTAGTTAAAGATTTAAAGATCTTGCTAATAAGAGAGTGAAAGTGAAAGAGTGAGAGTGAAAATTTTATTTTAGTTAAAAAGGTTTTAATTTTAATAGTTTTAATTAAGGTTTTAATTTATAATGATATTTACCAAATTTTTTCATAGTTGGATATTTTTTCCCTTCACTCCAAAACATTATAATTGGGTAAATTTAGAGTTTACATTAACTTTTTAATTCCACTAAGTCTGTCCTTTTCTCTACTCTTAGTGTCAACAGATTTTAATGACTAATTTTATTAGAATCGAGATTAATTAAAGTTAGTTAAAGGTTTAGAGATCTTGCTAATAAGAGAGTGAAAGCTGGTTGGATAATTATTAAAGGGGGTCATGGTGTTTTCCAGAGTTTTAAAGATTGTAACTACAGATTCCATTTTCCAGTGGGCAGGAAAATAAGATTCAGTGAAGTAATTATTAAATAGTTTAGAACACTTTTCAAACAGGTGCGTTGTCTGATCCACAAACATTATGTGTTTAAGTGAAAAATAACTTTTGCAATCGAAGCAAGAGTAATTTGAATGTCTAATAATGGATTAACCAATATCTATGTGATGATAGGGAGATGGTGGCCATTTATATTCAAGAGATTAATTAGAGGAAAGGTTTTTTGCAAATAGTTCTGCTCTATCCTTGGGAAAGGTAAAATGATCAAATGCGTGAATTAGAGATTAAATAATAGATTTTCTTTTGTTGATTTGAACACTGTTAATCACTGATAATATGTTTTGTTGATTTAAACACTGTTAATCATTTTCCAAAAGTCTCTAAAACCTAATTTTTGAGATAAAATATGTGATTTAGTAATCTAAAAATAACAAAGCTTAGAGTTAGACAGCACCTTTTTGATTTCTTGTACTAATAAAAAGATGTTTGTTTTGAAGAGAGTTGGTTTTGTGAATTGAAACCATTGTGATTAAATTTAGTTGCGAAGATAAGTTACTTGTAATATCAGGGCTTATTATAAAGTTTTGTTGCGTAATGGAAACGCATAATGAAAGTAGATGTAATTTTACTTAATATACATATTTATATTATTAAAAGTTAAATTATGTCAGTTGAAATAATGCATTGTAATTAAATTTAGTTTGAAACCACATTAAAAATTAGTTTAAGACTTAATTCTTTATCTTATAAAGTAGTTATAAAATATCTATAAATTTAGCAATATTGGTATAAAATAAAATTATTAATGAAATTTAAATGTTTAAAAGAATTTCTCATTTTAGAATACTTATTTAAACTTATACTGTTTATTTCTTAAAACATTCAAAGCATTTAATAACATTGTCATCTTATATTTGTTTTCTCACAATTTAGTTGTTTTTTTTAATGAGAAGGCAATTGTTTATGGGCCAATTTCTTAACAGTCAAAAAAAACAAACAGCTATAAACAATTTTTTTTTTTTAACAAAATCTTTGCATCTTTGCAATTGACGTTCATTCTATGATCAATCTAAAGAATTTATGATAATGAATAAAACTTTTGTTAAAATACAATTTCAAAATTAAAAAAAATCCTATTTTTATAAATTTGTTATATAAAGTTTAGTAAAAAAATTACTAAAAAGTAATTTTTTTTACAGGCTTGGTTATGGATTATCAGGCAATTCATTTATATACAGTTATAAGTATTAAGCACTTTTGTATATTAGCGTTTTTATAGCAGGATAAAAAAAATTTATTTATTTGAAATTATAAATAAATAAACTAAATAGTTGAATGTAAAAACGAACTTAAAAAAGTATCTTGAATTAAATTTAATGGAAAGAATTTTCTTTAACATAATTAAAAATTAAAAAAAAAAAAAACAGAGTGTTTTTAAATTTTTTAAAAAATTAATTAAATAAATTTAAATTAATATTCAATAATAAATTTGAAGTTTTTTTTTTTAATCTTGATTTCCAACATGGCTGCAAGCAACCACAATTAGAGCTGGAATTTACTGGAAAAGAAAAGATGAAGTTTATAGAGCAAGATAATGATTTACAGATAACTTAAAATATTGCAAATTATATGAATCTGGAAAATAAAAATAAAGGAAGCCAATTCCAAAGAACTGATGTTTGAGCAAAAAACTAGACGAATAAGAGTTTTTAGAAACAGTAACAGAAACAGTAACACTTAGAAACAGTAACAGAAAAAGGGTGAGACTTAATTGAATGGCGAGTAACATGAGAAGAAATTTTAGTAGATGGCACAAGAGACAATAGCTCTTTAAAGCAGTGCCAATTATAGTATTTGTAAAAAAGAGAAAGAGAAGCAACATTACAAAGATGTGATAGTGGTTGGAAGTTGGCTGTAAGAGCAAGTCCAACTATGTTTACAATGCCTTTTTACACCGTGTCTAAAGAAAAAGGCATTGTTGGACGATCTGCCCTAGATATGGCAACAGTATTCCATACAAGAACAGATTTAATATATATATTTATAGAGATAAAAAATAGAATCAGAGGTAAGAAAGCGGTGAACATGCTAAAGGGATGCAACCTTAGCATATGCTAGTTTTGCAATTAATTTGATATACGATTTCCAAGAAAGATTGGAAGTAAGAATTATTCTTATTTTTGATCTTTCTTGAAGATGAAGTAAGATTAATTCTAAAGATGCAACTTTAGCAGATGCTAATTTTGCAATGAATTCGATATATGGTTTTCAAGAAAGATCGGAAGTAAGAGTTAATCCTAAAAGATAAAGGGTAGATGACTCATCGAGTACATTACCATTCATAAATATAGAAAATCTAGATTATTGCAATAAGGATAAGCTAAAAAAAAATTGAGATTTATCTGAGTTAAAGTTCACCAGCCACTCCAAGCAATCAGAGAGCGTTGGCTTCTTATCATGGCAAGAATAAATGGTAGTATCATCAGCGAACAATGCCACCTTA